TATCTCCTAGCATCTAATAGAACGTCGAAATATTGGTTATTTCGCCTTCTTCTTATACAAGACCTAAATCATTTAGACTCTAAAGGCACGATGCAAATGTATTGCACGTTGTTGTTGCCTTAGAACACCTCAAATGAGAGATCTTGCTCATATTTCATTTAAAAATGGGCTCAAAGTCCAATGAACTTACTAAGATTCACAATCATGCTATTGTTTCTGATTTTGGTAAAGGTTACTTTCTTCTTTTTATAGCAATTATTCACTGCGTTATGGCCGCGTGTCTCAAAGTAGGGATATTTTGTGGGTATTTTCTTCGTTTAAGAACATCATAAAATTAAATATTCCTAAAAATGTTTTAAACCCGGAATGAGTCCTCTTCACAGTTAATATTCATCCAACAGCAAATTCATTATGTGAGGTAGCCACAATAATCTAATTATAAACGAAAACTAATCGAATTCTTTAATTACAAATAAGAGCTTTTTCTTCGACGATACAAGTTAGCTTTTGAGAAATCGCTATACCTGAGGTTGATATAAAAAACCATTATTTTAAACTATTTGCTAAGCCTTTTGTTTCAGTTTTCTAAAAAATTTATTTATCCCCTTCCGAATTCCATTCGTATATTCTTATGTTTTCCTTAAATTAGTTGATGACGATTGCCCACTTCGGCTCTTTTTGACAACCTCTTTGAATCCTGATGGAACTGGCGAAGAAGTCAGTGTGTGTATGAAAGATCGAAATGCTGCTATCTTCAAATATATTGTGGTAAGTATTTGAAAAGGATTTTCAACTAATTGCGATTCATAAAAAAATACTTAGCATGTTTTTTAACATAATTCGCCTTGGTATACGGTTAAAAATCGGAGCGTCTTCATCAGAATTACAGATTGATTGATGGACGTAGTTAGGAGAAGGATCATATGAAACTTATCGAAGGTATGAAGATCAAGATGGTGTGGCCTTTTTTGTGGTCGCAGTCTCCTTTCGTTGTATAGAGGTTGTTTGGGAATGTTCCACGTTCACGGTTCAACTTTGGAAATGATCATGCAGACAATAGACCCCAATAATTCTTCCTACCAATATGACCATGTTGCGAAAACAAGGTCAAACAACCTCTATATGAAACTTATGCTTAATTTCTATGGAATTTTCGGAATAAAAATTATGTATATTAACTCACTTATAGCTTGTGGATGTGTAGACAGTCTAACCCAATACATGACTCGTTCTCGTTTATAAATAGGTTTCGAGACTACCAACTAATCATATATATATATATATATATATGTATTCACTCTGTTTTTAAGGTTATCAAAGATTTGTAGTTAAATTTTCCCACTGATATGAGTAGGTCTCATATATATAATTTACTGGCAGTCTAGAGGCCTACTTATTAATGAAATTAAGTAGATAGTCTATTGTAACAGCAAATATAAATTAGCCTTATCGATAATTCCACTACAGAAAGTGGCATGGGAGGGTCCCGTGCTTCCTTGATATTCACATCGGCCTTGTGATACAAGGGCACTCGTGGTAGTTTGGCGTATTGATTAATTGAAATTCAATGATATATATATATATATATAT